TTTATCCTATGTGGCTCAATTTCTCCGCAAAACATCTAGCTGCCTGCTGATAGCGTCGCACAGAGCACGGCCTTCGTAGCTCCGGTAACGATCTCCGGGGATCTCCGTAAAAATTGTACTCGTGAAATTAACTGCGACGTCGTGAAACGAATCTCGACCTTCAGAGTGCGAGGCAAACGGCTTGACCACTTCGCCTGCGACATTTTGCGACAGACGCAGTAGGGGAACAGAAGAAGAATCCGCACGATAGGAGGAAGGGGGGGGGGGTTGCAGTCAATATGATGCCGGTCGTCTTTACTTCCCATGAAATCACCTGGTACCCATTTAATGCTAGATCAATTTGGAACCAATGTAAATTTTGAAGAGGAAAAAAAACTTCGACTACCATTTTGAACCCAAAACTCTGGGCCGTCATGCCAGGGTCTACCCGCTAGGCCACCATGGCTCTCGAAACAGGAAGTTGCAATCCTGATATGAATAGTCTTTTGTGTATAAACAAATTTATGAATGATCGAAACTAAAATGAATCAACCCAGAAGAAAATTCAAACAGCTTTGACAAATATCACAATGAAATGCGGGTCAAGGGCACAATGGGTACTTGAAGAGACCCAGGATCTTAGTCACGGCTGAGTTAAGCATTTCCTTTCGTCTGTGGCTTAAGCGTTACGAACGCGATTTGTAATGCCGGGGTGCCGGGTTCGATCCCAGCTGCGGGCCTCGGGCCTTGCGTTAGTTTCGACAGTGGTATCGAAAAGCCGACCGTCCAGGAAGCAATGACAAACTACTAGACGTAAACTTGCCTAGGAAAACCACAGCAGCCCCCAAAAATGCTGGGGTTGGTTCTGCAACGTTCTGTAAGGGATACGCAACTAACATTCCCCCCCCCCCCCCCCCAATGGTTACAAATCAGTGCCCGTCTGATCAAGACTTCAGGTTACTTCGTAATCGCCGGGGACCCCCAGTATAACCTTTCGGTTGAACGGGGTTTTCTTGTTCATGTAGACTTTTCGTTCCTAAGGTGTTGATCCTACGGACAGCGGATGGGCGAAGAGGAGCGGATGGCTAGACAGTTAAGAACGCTTACCTCATGGGGGTGGGGGGGGGGGGGGGGGGCACGCTTAGGCACTTTGCTCATTTCTCCTCCCTAATTTGTATTCCTAGAAAGTGGGGAAAGTGTGGGGTGGGGTGGGGGGGGGGGGGGGAGGGCGAAGAACTCATGATACATGAGCCCCTGGGTGCTAACGCCACGCAGGGCTGCCAATGCTAGGTTTTTACCCCCAGATCTGGGTTTTTGTCTGACGCCTTGGGTTCAAATTTTTTAATCTGGGTAAAAAAAAATTATCTTCAGATAAAAGTGGGTGAAAGTTTTGTTTCATAACTATAAAATTTGTACTTTTTAACAATCTGGATTTTTTTGTTTTGTTTTATCTTCTTTGCCTATGTATTGCTTGGGTTTTTGTTCAGCTTAGCTGGGCTTTTCACCCATCGCCACTATTCCCTAATTTCCTGTTTCCTCGTTATGTGACTAAACAAAAACGGACCCTTTCTTATTCTAGCAGAAATGGTGGGATTTGAATGCAAGAAAGAATGAAAACAAGAATGAAGTTTCAACACTAAACAAGGAACGACATCAAAACAAAACCTGTGAAGCAGGAAGATCAAATAGAAATGTGTTCCTCAAAAAAAAAAAAAATGTTTATGAGACTGTATTGTCCGTGATAATGGCGACACAACTATAACACAGTTGGTAGCGTCGAAATGAAGAAAACACGTAAGGCAAGGGGAGCATGAAAGAGGCACAGCTCCCTTTTACATTTTCTAGGGGTTGAAGCCTCCTATGCCTTGTTTAAGTGCACAGTACTACAAATGATATGATTATCATTTTTTTGCTGATGATAAAAAAAATATAATAAATAACACGTATGAAGTAAGATAAAGTTAATAAACAACAATTATATTAGAAAACATTGGAGTCGCCGTGACGTAGTGCCTGCGGGTCGGATGGTCGTGGGTTCGAGTCCTGACGGAGCCAAATTATTTTTTTTTAAATAACCTTGATTCCCAAGTGGACAGAACCTTGAATGGGTACCAGGTGCATCCTGGAAAGCGAAGGCGGCCGGCGTGATGCTGACCACATCATTTACTGAAGTACCGATTGGTCTACAAAATATAGGTTTATATATGCCCAATACACCTAAAACTAGGCATAACGAGAACTGATGATGATGATGAATACACCTAAAGGCTTGGAAAAGGGTCCTTCACTTTTTTTTTTTTAACCTTACTTAAGAGAACTTATATATACGGTTAGCGGGGCCACTTTCAAATCTTCTAGGAGTAGGGGCTAAACGCCAAAATGGGGGAGGGGCCCATTAAGAAAGCGTGCTTTTTTTATGAGTTCGGTTGAGATAGGAGAACGATAGGATTAACACAACAATAACAGTTATTTGCAGATCCTCGACAGTATGTTGCAGAACCAACCCTCAGCATTTTGTTGACTTCTGCGGGGTTTTTTTTTTTTCTTTTTTCTAGGCAAATTCCCGTTCAGTAATTTTGCCACTGCTTACTGTACGGTCGGTTCTCAAAACCATTGTTGAAACCTAAGCAAGACGGTCTGCTGCCATATCGTCTGCAGCTGTAATCGAACCCGGTATTACGAATCTCGCTCGCAACGCCTAAGCCATTGAAGCCGACAAAGATATAAAACATCTGACTGACAGAACACACGGTGTTGAAATATCACAACATCAAACCAGACACAACATGACTTCAAAGGAAAAGAAATATGGTTACAGGAAGAAGAGTGATGGGAAATTCACAGCTGACCTGAAAGTCCATTATTTCAAGGGGTGCAAGTGTGCTGTTGTGTGATGTTGTTTTTGAGTGTTCATCTACTGTCTTCTAACCCTAACCCTAAAAACGTGGCTGTAGAGAAACCGCGAGACACTACAACCTGAACACCCTAGAATTTATTGGGAATGTCTCCCGTGACGTTGTCGTGACGTCAGGGTTAAGTTATAAATTAAGTACCAATTATTGCAAAAAAGGATGAGAGCTGAGCGTCTGAGAAGAAAAAGACTCAACAAAAACGTTGACAACAATGGCCCTGAAATCCCATGCTACAACTGTGGAATTAAAAGTAAAAGGAAAGATAGAGAGAAAGAGAAGAAGATGAAGATCAGAAGGGAGGGTTAGAGACAATGCAGGAGACGGGAAGGAAGGAGCAATAGGTAGAAGAGTGAAAGAGGGAGGGGAGAGAGAGAGAGAGAGAGAGAGAGAGAGAGAGAGAGAGAGAGAGAGAGAGAGAGAGAGAGAGAGAGAGAGAGGTGAGACAACAGAAGAGGGGATCTCGGGGAATTACAATACTGATCGCCAAACACACTGTAAAGATAAATCCAGGCCAAAAAATAGAACTGGGAAATCTGGGACTCACGACCAGCAGCTGCCATCAAGTTTAGGGGGATACTCTCGGGCTTTCTTTTCTGTTTGAAACTTTCTGTCATCTCTAATCTGCAAAGACTCGTCAAAGAACAATCCTCCCACAGGTAAGACTTTTCTTAACAGGGGCGGGTCTTGCTAGTCACACTCGCCATCGCCATGGGCTGTTAGTCCCATGCCTCCTCGGAGCGCAATGTAACACTATCGTCTGGAAAGACGGAAAGGTGACAATCAATTTATTCAGCACGGGGCTTTAAGTTGTGGCACATCAAGTGGATTGTTTTATTCAGTTTAAACAAACTACAGGTTATAATAAAATAAAAGCTTCTATCTATTTTCTATTGTCTTCTTCACTTTTACCGGGTTGCAGCCCAGTGTCATGGTTTAAAATATTTGTTTTGTGCCTCTCGCGTGATTTGAGTGACAGTTTTCTGGATCTTCTGGCCGTTTTCAGCTACTCCATCTATCCATTTTTTCCTGGGTCTTCCTCTGGCCTTTCTTCCCGATGTTCTACTGTAAAAGGCCTTATAGGCAATCTGATCCGGTTGCATTCTTAATAAATGGCCAAACCACTTCATTCTCTGTCTTTCAATATGTTCCATGCATGCTCTTGTTCCAACTTTGTCTCTAATGCTGACGTTTGTGACTCTGTCTCTTCGAATAAAAAAAAAGCTTCATACTACAAAAATAATATTTTGAACAATGAAAAATGATAAAAATATCTGGGGGGTTTAAGGGTTTGGAGGAAAGGGGGGGGGGGGGTATATTAAAAGAAAATTCGGCGGCGTCCGTAGCTTAGGCGTTGCGAGTCCGATTCGTAATTCCAAAGTACCGCGATCGAAACTCACTGATTTTTATCATGGTATGGGGCGTCGCAGGGGACCCAGCCTAATTCAGGTACCAGGATGTATGTCCAGGAAGTAAAGACGGCCGGCGTAATGCTGACCACATTATCCGCCGAGTGCCGATTGGTCTGTAAAAATATGGGTGCAGTTCCCATATGCCCGATGCGCCTAAAAGGCGTGAAAAGGGATCTTTACTTACTTTAATTAACAAAAAAGTATGTTTGTGACAGAAATAAGAATTTTCTGTAGGCGCCAGCAGAAAGTGAGACCTCTTAGACAGACAGACAGACAGACAGACAGACAGACAGACAGACAGACAGACAGACAGACAGACAGACAGACAGACAGACAGACAGACAGACAGACAGACAGACAGACAGACAGACAGACAGACAGACAGACAGACAGACAGACAGACAGACAGACAGACAGACAGACAGACAGACAGACAGACAGACAGACAGACAGACAGACAGACAGACAGACAGACAGACAGACAGACAGACAGACAGACAGACAGACAGGCAGGCAGGCAGGCAGGCAGGCAGGCAGGCAGGCAGGCAGGCAGGCAGGCAGACAGACAGACAGACAGACAGACAGACAGACAGACAGACAGACAGACAGACAGACAGACAGACAGACAGACAGACAGACAGACAGACAGACAGACAGACAGACAGACAGACAAAATACTATTGATAACAATAAAGGATACATAGATAGAATCCTTGTTGTAGCGGACTTTGAGGTTGGTGTTGATACCGTTCTCATCTATATCACTGATGAGAATCATGTCACGTACTCCATCGGTGGGCCTCACACCTGTGCAGACACAAACGGTAAAGTTCAATTACTCATCTGAGTCAGTCAGTCAGTGAGTCAGTCAGTCAGTTAGTTAGTTAGTTAGTTAGTTAGTTAGTTAGTTAGTTAGTTAGTAAGTTAGTTAGTTAGTTAAATAGTTAGTTAGTTAATTAGTTAGTTAGTCAGTCAGTCAGTTGGTTGGTTAATTAGTTAGTTAGTTAATTAGTAAGTAAGTTAGTTAGTTAATTAGTTAGTTAGTTAGTTAATTAATTAATTAATTAATTTGGTAATTAGCTATTTAGTTAGTTAATTAGTTAGTTGGTTAGTTAGTCAGTTTGTTAGTTAGTTAGGTAATTAGTTAGTTAGTTAGTTAGTTAGTTGGTTAGTTAGTTAGTTTGTTAGTTAGTTAGGTAATTAGTTAGTTAGTTAGTTAGTTAATTAGTTAGTTAGGTAATTAGTAAGTTAATTAGTTAGTTAGGTAATTAGTCAGTTAATTAGTTAGTTAATTAGTTAGTTCGTTGTTAGTTAATGGATATATTATCCTCACTGCATACCAGACAAGTCCATAAACGCTCGGATCCCATATTCAGCGTGTGGCGTCTAATAACACTAACTCTAGGTTGATTTACTATCTATCCTTCTTGTGGCTACCCGTATAGTGTTCATGTTTGGCGACACCTTTTTTGACCTGAAGTTCTTGTAGTCTGTTGAGTGTTGCTGACTCTCCTGGATAATCTTGTCCTCCTTCATCTTTTAAAGCAATGAAAAAAATGTTGGCTCGGTCCATTACTTCTCCTGCATCTACCGTTGCTCTGCCAGCAAGCTGATCCGCTCTTTCATTCCCCCAAATCACATTCATTTAGTATTGTCAGGTAATCGGGCAATCACAGTTTCATTTTCACAACAAAACGGGTCACCCCACTATTTCTCCGTTCCTATGCCAATGAAAATCAAATAGGATATCAGTCAAAATCTTCAGTTAAAACATGACACAGACTGCAGTCTCAGCAAATCCAAAAGCATACACGAGCAAAAAATGCATAAGGCTGCTGTCAGAATGCCAACACAAACAGTTCGACACTAGAAATGCAGTTCATCGTCGATGGGAGCAGTAGTTGCAACAGATCAGTAGTTGCACATGCGACTAATCCCACAAGGCAACCACCAGTTCCGTAGCAACAAGCCACTCACCAATTTTCTGAATCTTCAGTTCACAACACAAACCATGTTGCACACAGTCAAAAAGGCATTCAGTGTCGCGCCATGTTCTTAGCTCGGAAGCTGGGCGACGAGATTGTATCGTTTCAGTCTATGTATGGCGGAAAATGCAACTAATGCCAGTAGCAAAAACTTGCCACGAATAAAGACAGTAACCCAGCATATCCTCCATACTGACCGGAAGAATGTCAATCAATATTGGTGCACCAAAGCTCATACAGATTAAGACCATTATACCCAAACAGGATCCCAACTGGAGGTCTGAGCAACGTAGATGATTTCGATGCTTCCTTCGAAGTCGGAACGCCGTATACGCAAAGAACACAAATAAGGGAGATCTGTAAAACGGATGTGTTCATAAAACTCAGATCCTTAAAAAAGGCCAGTCCAGAAGTGGGCGAACAACCAGAAATCCGATGGAGTTTACAGCCGGTGACCTCGCCGCAGAGAGGCTAGTTGACCTTTTCATATGACCGGAAAAGTTTGCATCTAATACCAGAGAACATTCTAGAAAGGGTGAGAATCTTGGGAAGGATGGTGATTAGGAGGTGACAGGGGAGTAACGGTTGACTCTGTAGCAGCTGCAATAAGGTGCTTATATGGTTCAGCATACAACAACACACATGATCAATTGAAATGTAACAGAGTGCTGAAGGTGGGTACCCAGACAATTGTATTTTTCTTCTTCTTTTCTCTACTCCTGGAATGCCTCGCGGCGTCAGGATAGGAAGAGATCTCCAGAACGGGCTCTTTTGTTCACTTCGTATATAGTACTCCCCAGTGTCTCTGATATTTCTGTGGTCCATCATCTGCATGGTCGACCTCTAGGTCTGTTATCACTGTATATGTACAACAATGTTCTCTATGGTGCCCTGTTGGATGCCAATCTTATTACATGACCAAACCTTTTGACTTTTTGTCTACCTTTAAAGTTCAGTACATATTCTGTACCTGATATCATCGTTCCTGAGTGAATATTTCCTCGTTTCACCTAGCATTTTATTTCTTATGAGGGAAAATTGTGTTTTATTGCAACGTAAGCTCATTAAAGCCATTATAATAAATCATAAACTATTACGTAATGTTTCAAGATATCTTTATTGTAGCAATTTCGCTCAGCGTTGCTGGTAACTCTAACTGGCTGGTAATCTGGTAATCTGGTAATCCTAGTTTCAGCATCATAGCAAACGGGTCACCCCATTGTTGCTCCGCTCCTGTGCCAACGAAAAACACTCGTAGCTCACAGTGTCACACCATGCACTCAACTCAGAAGCTGGGTGACGAAACCATATCCTCCCAGTCTACAAATGGAGCAAAAATGCAACGGCCACCGCCTGGCAGAACTGCCACGGCTAAAAAAAAAAAAGTGGCCGTGCCTAGCGTCCACTGTGACTTGAAGCATTATGTGAGGGGTTAACAAATGGTCACCCCAGCAGTACCCTCACTATTAGCTGGGAAAGGGACTTAGGACATTACATCCACCAGCAGGCGTCGCCCCTACAACGACCTGACTGCCTTCGTTAACGACTGTTCACCCAACAGCCATGCAGTTCTTTGGCACGAAGGAGACACCTTGAACTTGGGTTTCGGAATGCCGACTTCCTACAAAATGTTATTTTGTGTTTTGTTATCACAATCGACGTCACTGCACATTGAGCATACCCATGCGTGCGCAGTCCTCCGAAGCAGCAGCCACTCCAAAGTACTTATACTAATTGTCCCCATGAGAAGCTGGTTATATTGTCTCCTTTCTCGGCCTCGCAGACGGCAAAGACGTGCTTCACCATGCTTAACTCCCATGTCACGCAATCGTGTTAGTGTCAGGGATTCGATATTATCCACTAGCCCAGTACGTCTAACTGGCTATCCGCTCGAGGGCGAAAGGTTTTCTTGTATGATCGATGGAAGAATACCAGAGAAGTATAGACCAAACCAAACCAAACTGTTTCCACGCCATACTGGCATACGGGGAACGTGAGGCTAGGTCCGTTGTCGTGACAACACGGCTCTAAATGATAGATGATGTCAAGGTCACATCGACAGTCTCTTCTATGAGGTTTATTTTCCGAGGCTGGGTTTAGTCTGTAGACGTGGGGTCATGAAACAGGATCCTACCAGGAACCCGGTATTAATCGAACAGCATTAAGTGTTCTACTAAAGGAAGCTACCAGTTTGAGAGGGGAGGAACTGTAGAAGTGAGAATGATAGGAATGTAGGGAAAAATAAAAGTTATCAAAAATTGCATACACACGAGAGACACAGACAGAAAGAGAGAGAGAGAGAGAGAGAGAGAGAGAGAGAGAGAGAGAGAGAGAGAGAGAGAGAGAGAGAGAGAGGGGGGGGGGGGGGGGGTAGGGGGAGAAAGAGAGCTTGGAGAAAATGCGTGGGTTCTTTTCTTTTATTTCACCCGATAACGGGGATTTCGAGATTTTATGGGGAGTTTCCGGAAAGGTCCAATAGTGTAGGAGTGTTGTGGTGTGAAATGAAGACCGATTGACACTAATACCCCCCCCCCCCTCCCCACTCAAAATATTGGACTTTTCCGGGAACTCCCCACGAAATTTCGGAATCCCTGAGATGGGGTGAGAGAGAAAAGAGATGAATGAAAATGGGGAGAGGCACATTAAAAGGCACATACACACAGAGAAAGAGGAGAGGGCTGAGGATCGGGAGAATGGTGACAATCTAGAATGCCAGAGAACATTCTGGAAATGGTTACAATCTAGAATGTCAGAGAACATTCTGGAAATGGTGAGGATTTAGAATGCCAGAGAACATTCTGGAAATGGTGGGAATTATGTGAAGGATGGTGAGACAGATCAATGGCCAAGTGTTGGCATGAGACCAGTTCATGGAGATAACTGAGGACAAGAGAATCGACGTCGAGAAGTCACGACTTGTGGCTAGCTGGGGTGACTCGGCCACACCGCGACGGCCAGAATGAGTGTATTAGGGGTAACAGAAAGAGAAGACAGCGACACAGAGAGAGAAAGAGAGAGAGAAAGAGAGAGAGAGAGAGAGAGAGAGAGAGAGAGAGAGAGAGAGAGAGAGGCAGTGGCGTAGCAAAGTCAGATGGTACTTGGTGCGGCAAATTTTCAGTCACCCCCAAATATACGAGATGAAGTCAATAAGTAAGTCACAAATGGTTATGCGATGGCAGGAAAATGTAGTTGGTGGTTTGTGTCATTAGGTGACAGCAACATCGAACTTTATGTCTTCGTCCGTTAGGTGGCGCTAGGTGTTGCATGCGCATCCGCAACACAGAAACAAAATGACAACTGTACTTAAGGAGTGTACCCTCAAAGAACAACGTGCTGTTGTGCGCGGTTTTTTTTTTTTTTTTTTTTTTTTTTTTTAATAAAGGGCTGCCTACAAAGAACATTCATAATTAAATGCTTCATGTTTATGCTGACAAATGTTTATCCCGAAAAATGGCGCACAGCTGTTTTTTAAATTTTTAAAAAAATTATAACACAAAAAATTATAACGAAGCTCTAAAATATTTTATGAAGTCCGATACGATCGTCTTATTGCAAGAGACGCATACATGCAGTGGGTGAAAGAGATTATTAGAGGTGACAAGGGAGTAACGGTTGAATCTGTAGCAGATGCAATAGGGTCCTTATATGATTCAGCATACAACATAATGCATGATCGATTGAAATTTAACTGTGATCTCAAGGTGAGTACTCAGACAATTGATAGACGAACATAAAATGAACCGATCAGATCTGTCCTTGCAGCATCTATGTCGATAAAGAGCTGAAGGAGAAGATATGCTGAACATGATTATTACTGTAAAT